AGAAGATCTTCCCTAACAGCAATTCATTACATCTTCACACATACTCCAGTAGATAGACACTGACAAATACAGTGTACCCTTTATAATAGAAGTCACACACTATGATAAAAAGAGAGTATTGAGCTAGCTATAAATAAAACATAGTTTCCTATGATCTTTTTTTTTTCATTCCTTGATGCTCTGAGAAACAGGCACCATTAAATGTTAGCAGGGAGCCTCTATTTTTTGCTATTTAAAAAGAAGGAAAAAGTCTCTACATATGCTGAAAGGCAATTTATTGTACATTCACAACTATTTATTTTCTGGAATATTACAAACACCACCTTCCACTGTTCAGATGTAGATCCAGTAGGAGCTTCCACTGCGGTGGCAGGATATCGGCCAGTAGTTTTATATATACATGATTAATCTTAATAGGCTCCTGAGAACAACATAAGTTTTGTAAACTTTTATTGAAAAGCAATTTACACCAATTATCCCTCTCTCTCTTTGATATACATCATGTTGTACTGATTCCACTGATAAATCATCTATCTACCACTGGGAGATAGAGTGTTTCTTGATTACTTATACAGAGATTAAGCTATAATATAGGCCCTTTGTAAAACTGCTGCTAAAGCAAACCTATATGTAAATTAAAGCCCAAATTTCCACTAACAACTATGTGCCCTCAGGAGCCTAAATTTACTCTTGTTGTACTTCAACCTGTATTTACGCAAGTATTGGCATTTTAGACTGGGCTGAGGTGTGCATCAGGGCAACAGCCAAAGGCACTAAGAACAAAAACAGGCAGTGAAGAATGCCAAAACACTAATTTAGAAATAAAACGGCTATGAAGCCAAGGTGTATTACCCTATTTAGGGAGCTCTCAACGTATTAACACAATACAAAAAGAGGTTACTGTCTCACCATATTAACAGTGGGGTATGTCCAAAGTCACAACCACAACTTGAAACAAACATATAGGGGACCAAAGGAGACCACCTAAAAAGAAGCTTTACATAATGACCAACCGCAGTGTAACCAGTCAAAATATGCTTTATTGAACAGTACAAAATATTAAATTGGTCTAGCCAACCTAAATGATCCTCCAGTCACTATTAAAACAGGTCTGATAACGTTATTGCCTTAGGTTACAAGAGCCCAGGCCCCTCACACACATACATCTATTGCTGCCATGCATACACTAGATCACAAATAGTAGATAATGATTCGTCTAAAGCCATCAATCTGAAGGAAAGAGTGATTTGGACATCACTTAGACCAGACTGTGGCCAAATGCCAGCCAGTCATCTGAACAACAATGTTACGGTAACCATTTCCTGGAAAATAATGATGGCTTATGACAAAAAGCTGGGAAGCAATAACCATATTCAAACAGATATTGCGGTAAGCTTAACCATACATTATCCTGCCATTCATCAAGGCTTCAGTTGCATTAGATAGTCCAAGGATTTGGAGCAGATAATACAGCCAACATCTAATTGGGTTAGTCCAAAATGAATAATAGACCTTGCAGTTCTGACTGAGCAGAAATACATCATTGCTGGGTCAAAAGATTACTAGTCACAAAGCAGTGTTCAATCAAATCATCTAGCACCTATAACAAAGAAGCTGCAACAGCCTTAGTAGCAACAGGTCAAGTCTATTGAGCCATGCGGTAAACGCTTTAAATAAGCGTAATAATAGCAGGGAACAAAAAGTACCTGCTTGGAGCGTTTAGGTTAATGATAGAGCCTTGCATTAGCACTATAGAGGAGCTTCTGACAGTCCAGCCAACCCATCAGACTGCTTCTCTGCCATAGCTATTGTGTCCCCTTCAGGGCTGAATCCACTCCATTTCACTCCCACTCAGGATATCCTCTGTACTCCGAATTAAGATCCATGTGCTTTTGTTAAAGCTGAGTATTGTGCCATTCACTGCCAGTACAGCAGGCAGCTGATAGTCATGCCACCAGTGAGGATGAGGCCCGTGGCTCATTGACCTTGCCTACATCAACGTGTTTCGCCCAAGTGACCATGCGCTTCATCAGGATGTCGGGACGCACAATCCTCTGACCTCTTAAAGGGGCAGTTTGTCCTTTTAGCATATGGCCAGGGAGGTCCCCTTTCTTAAAGAGACAGCAATCATAATTATTGCATTGAAACAGTCTCTAAAATGAAGAGCATTTGTAGTCTTAATTGCACCTACAGTGCTTAATACTACCATTAAACAATAAAATTCTTAAATTTTGTTTCAATTCAAAGCTGGACAAGGCATTCTGTCATTCTGATCATTTTTATTCCCATCAGAGTCTACGAACACCTTAGTACGATCCACACATTTGCATATATTGCAGTGCCCACAGGGGAACATGCCTTTTAATTCTTAAAGGTCAGTAAGCCAGTTTCTCCAAACTCTTACAGTACTAGCATGTCATTAAGGTTTTTTGCCCTCTTAGTGGCCATAAAGGGTCTTGAACCTACAGTCGCTTCTAATTCCTGTGAGCATGTGAGAGCGTGCTAATGTCGTTTTAGGACCATCCTTACCTCATCCCACTCGGCCTCAAATTATGTAATGATTTTAACTTGGCCTTCAGTTTGTGTGTCTTTACCTATTCTCTCACCCCTTGATCTAATGAGGTTATTTCTGTCCCTACTTGCTGCCTTTTTCTTGTATTCTCTAAGGGTATGGTGTGAATAGTCCCTCTCTTTAAATCTGCCATATAAATATGCAGCTTCATTCCTATGATCGTCATCATCAGAACAATTCCTACGAATCCTCAAACATTGTCCCACAGTTATACCCTATATAAGGGATCTCGGGTGGTGACTGGGGGCATGGAGGAGTGTATTGGGTGCTGTTTTTCTCCTGAAGGTTCTTTCCATAAGTCTGTTATTTTCAATCCCAATTGAGAGATCTAAAAATTATATCTCTCTTGCATCTACTACATAGGTTAATTTCATATTACAAGTATTATGTCCAAGTTCCTCCATGAACACCTCAAGATCACGAACGGAGCCATGACATAGCACAAGCACATCATTGATGTACCTCAGCCCCAAGCTCATGTGGCTGAGGTACTTCGATGAGGTACACTACATCCTCCTCCCACCACCCCAGGTGAAGGCAGGCATATGCTGGGGCCCAGGGGTCCCTCATAGAGGAAATTCTAATCTGTTGGTAGTTAATTCTACAGAATTGCAAAAAGTTGTTATGTAATGCCAATTCCAATAGTTCAATAATGAACTAATTTTGGCCCCCTTGACTGGAAAATTCACATCCAGATAATGGGAATCTGCAGCCACTACCCACTCATGCAGTATAGATGTGTATAGGGCCTCCATGTCTACACCCACTAATAGTGCCCCCACTACGATCTCCAAAATTTTTTCCAATACATCTCTCGTGTCCTTTACGTACAAGGGCAACCCACCACCAAATCTGTGATCAAAGAATCAGTATATTTTCCAACTCTTTCCAATGGTCCTTTTTATTGCCGATACAATAGGCCGACCTGGGGAGTTACTTGCATTTTTGTGTATTTTTGATCTAGTGTATGCATGGCAGCGTGGATGTATGTGTGTTAGGGGCCTGGGCTCTTGTAACCTAAGGCAATAACATTCACAGACCTGTTTTAATGGTGACTGGAGGATCGTTTAGGTCGGCTAGACCAATTTAATATTTTGTACTGCTTGATCTCAATAAAGTATATTTTGACTGGTTACACTGCAATTGGTCCTCCTTTAAAACCTCTTTTTAGGTGGCCTCCCTTGGTCCCCTATATGTTTTTCTCAAATGGAGAATGCCTAGACCGCTGTGAGGAAATGGGGTTGGATTTTATTTTAAATTAATGACTGGTTTGCTTTAAGGCAGCAGAGAATTTGGAATCTCTGACACACTTTACATAAATAGATTTTTTAAGTAAATTGTACTGTATTCATATCCTTTTTATTGTATAGTTATTATGAATTTTAAGAGAGAGGTTTTATTGACACAGTAAGTCATACACCCTGGTCTAGCCCAATTTCTATTAATTACAATTCAAATTTTATAGCATACATAAATTTTAAATTGTTAACAGGATAAATCATAACAGTTTCATAATTGATAAGATGGGTTAGGCCTGGTTCACATCTATGCTGGTGGTTGCGAGTGTGGGAATCGCAGCGATTCCCACAACAGTAACCACCTGCAGTCAAAACACACTGCTGTTTGAAAACGCTCCAGGCTCCCATTCATTCTGAATGGCACCCCACACATCTAAAGATGCAGCGCAAAAGCACTATGCTATTTTTCAACCACTGCATTTTTAGAATAATGCAGGAACCGTCTTTCAAACGCTTGGACTGCCGTGCACGTGCAAACTTACAACCCCACACAGATGTGAATCAGGCTTAAATTATTATTTGTTTTTTTGCATTAGTTATTTTAAAATTAAGACAATCTGACCAGAAGAGAAGAACCATTCTCTCTCTACGGATCTGGAATCACTGTTTTTTCCACACACAGTTACAGTTGTCAGAGGCTGGGACATAAAAAAAAAATCTTCAAAGGGGTTCTAACCTTTCCACACTCTATAAAAAATATAAATACATAAAAAGTTTGAAAATGTGTTAATACCTCAGTCAGTCGGCATTCTGAATCAATTTCTTATCACTCATTTTTAAAGGCCTGAGGAGTAAAGGCAAATTTGACATAAAGTACATCTAATACCCAAACTTCTTTTTTTCAGGCTTTTTTTCTGTCTATAAAACATTGTGCAGAATCGTTTTTATTTACTGTCCTATTATTGCAACAGAATGTGAGGGAAAATCTCTTCAAAGTGAGGGGAAATCAACACTTAGGCTGTTGTCATTGGGGCAATGCTCCAATTAGAAGTTGTTCGGTGACAACTGTAAAACGTTGGATTTTCCATCACTTCTGGCAATGTGACAGTGTTCCTGTGGGGCAAGGTCCCAGATAGCAATAAAAACCTGACATGGGTTTTAATATTTCCCACTTTCTCTATCTCTTGCAGGACTTGTGTGGACAATCGCTATTGTAGTAGGATCTCCAATGCTGCATGTGCAGACATTAGAGGTAAGTAAATGGCTAGATATAAGGCAGGTAGTCAGAGACCTAAAGTGTGTGGATTCACATCTAGGCAAAACACTTGAGAAAATTTATCTTAAAAGAGAAACATAGACCAGAGAAAGATTGGGCTCTGGACAGAGAAAAAAAAATCTTAGTGATCTTAGTGATTTAACCATAGCAAGATTGTTGGTGCCAGAAGGGCTGCTTTGAGCAGTTCTGTAACTGCCAGTTTCCCAGTTTTCACACACAATAGTCTGTAAAGTTTACATGGAAGGGTGCAAAAAATATTTGGTGAGCTACAGTTCTGCAGAACAATAAGACTGGTTGGAGCTGACTATGATAACTCAGGTAACTACTTCTTACAACTGCAGGGAGCAAAATAGCATCTCTGAATGTACAACACATTAAACCTTGAGGAGGATGATTTACAACAGCAGGAGACCATGCTGCGTTCCACTCTTGCCAGCCAAGAACAGAAAGCTGAGGCTGCCGTCACAGGTTCATCAGAACTGGACAGTTGCAGACCGGAAAATGCAGTCAGATCTGGAGAGTTTCAATTTCTAATGAATCACACAGATGGTGGATCAGTGAATGGATCTGAATCTAACAGAACCCCTTCAAGATGTGGTAGTGTGGATGTACAACTGACAAATCTACAAAAATGTGCATGATGCAATCATGTTAACATGAAGCTCTCAAAAGAAAGTTTGTGGTATGTGGAACCCATGTTATGAAGAACTGAGGCTGTTATGAGATCAGCCCTACCCAGTATATTACACAGGTCCTAATTTCTCGTCGAGTGTAAATAATCGTTTCAGTAAGTGTTATGTTCTAAAAGTCTTGTTCCTGTATTCCTTGTGCCAAGGAAGCTAGGGAGCAGGAGGTCTTGAGAGTAACGTAGGGGATAGTTTGCATAATATTTTGAATCAAGTTTGGAGATGTAGTTCATGGGAGAGTTGTGAATGACTTTGTATGTTGTTGTTAGCATTTTGAATTTTATATTTGCAATTTGAAACCAGTGTTGAGATTGCTAGAATGAGGTGGTGGTTGGTAAGGTAGATGAGTCTGACAGCAAATATGTGTTTCATGGGTCCTGAACATTGCACTTTCTCAGGCTCTGTGAAACAGCTTTAGTAAAAACAACATGGGGTTGATTTACTAAAACTGGAGTGTGCAAAATCTGCTGTCAATGGTAGCCAATCAGCTCTTAACTTCAGCTTGTTCAAATAATGCTATGTATTTTAACAATCAATGTTTTAGAATAATTTGAGAAAATTGATGCAATTTTAATTGTGGTGTATACTTTATACATACTAGGGTACCCTCTAAGTCCCATATATGGCTGAATTTTTGCTTTTCATATCAGTAAATGTTACTGTAAATTTAAATAAAATGTGTATTAACTGAAAATACACTACATTAACTTTAATTTGATATGTATGTGTATTAACAACCGGTATATTCAGTTTAATCTTGAATATATATATATATGTGTGTGTGTGTGTGTAAAGCTGAAATAATATAAACATGCTAGCCCTTACCGTTGTTTATATTTTTCCACTGGGGAGCAAATATATTGGAACATGATATATCATAGCTCCCTTTGCTTCCCACTAATTACATCTTGGTTTTCAATAAACTGTATTATTCAAAAAGACACATTTAAAAATCCCGTAAGAAAATAAGATATATGAGATTACCTAAACTTGAAAGAAGTTTTGATACAGTGGGGAGATATTTTACTAAACACACCTTCCTTTCTGAGCAAAATTCGGCAACATTTTTTTAAAATAAAATGTAAAAATTAACAATTTGGTTATTTTGCTATTTTTAATAATTTATTATGTAGAATAATACATTGTACGCATTTGAACACTGTTTTATACACTTCCTAAAAAAATGTTTTAATTAAATTATTTTGACCAACTTCAGTTTTATAGACTGAAATATGAGGTATACAAACGTGTATCTAAAGGCAAAACTTTTTTTTACATTTGATTTGTTGATGTGTTATTGATGAAGTAAAGAATTGTTAAAACATTATTTGCTTAATTACCTATATCCCACTAGGGAGATTTGTGTTCACTTATAGTCCTGCAAACACAACAGGAAGTTAGAAAAAAATTCAGCAAAATGAGAGGAAATTCCTTTTTAGACAGTTGTCCCTAGACCAAATTCGCCAAAATGAGAGGAAATTCCTTTTTAGACAGTTGTCACTAGACCATGCTTTCTAAGTAGAAGAATTTCTTTATTCATATCCACTGATAACCATGAAATTTGATCTTCCTGCCTCAGTGACAATGACCACCAGGACAATAATAAGGGTACAGCTCCTCAGCTAGGGCCAGACAGCAATGACAACCTGACAGGTCTTCTAACCCTTCAACACTCAATACAAAATAAAAAGTAAAATTCCATATACAGTATATTGCTATTAAAATGTGAAAGTAGAGTTTTTATAATGTTTGATGTAATTTGAGTTGGCAGCATTTATAATAATTGATTTATGTCTTCCAGGTGAAATATGACTTGCTGTATAACTTATATCATGTGTGCTGCCTGGAGTCATGGAGCAATGCTGGACTGCGCAGAGCCTATGCCATCTTCATCCTGGTGGCTCTGTTCCTGGTACCACTTGCTGCGATGCTCCTCCTGTACACCCGTATCGGGTATGAGCTGTGGATTAAAAAGCGCATTGGGGACTGTTCAGTGCTGAACACTTTGAGCCGTAATGAGATGGCAAAGATCACCAGGTATAATGACTATGAAACAGACTTGGTTGTAAAATGAGTTTTTCTATCAACCTAATTAATAATTTCTTTGAAGAATTTCAAAGGTTTAGCACATATACTGGTTGTTTAACTCCTCCTGATAAAATGTAGGTATTTGAAAACCTTCATATGAAAGGAAACTTTAAGACTTGACATTGCTATAAAAAAAATATCTAAATTGTTGAGTATTGTGCAATTTAGTTTTTGAAGTTAGACCTCTGAAGAAAGAAATATGGAAACTGCCACAGCTGAATTGTCCTGTGGTGCCTGCTATCCTGAGCTGATATGTACTGAGCTTGCATATCTACACATAGGGCTCATGGTGGATTGCTTCTAAGAGGGTGTTTGACAGGTAGAGAGGAGGCGTTATGTGGCTTCGCCAACACGTGTTTTAATCCCTAAAAGTCTGCACCATTGCACCAAAACCATGGGCATTGAGCGTAGCTACCGCACAGCTCCATTCACTTGAATGAGTTGTAGTCGGAGGGTGATACTGCCCGTCGGACACAGCAAGGGGAATACATTTTGCTGAGTTGAGCAAAGCATCATACATCGTATATACGCCAATTAAACTGCCTTTGCAGGTAGGAGAAAAGGGGTATAAATGTGGCCCCATCTGTTTTTTCCCACTGCCTAACCTGAAGTGTAAATTATGCCTTATGCTAAATTTACACTAGTCAAAAAATCTTTAAACTCTTTTTCGAAAAATTAATAGTCAGTTGTGAGAGCAACTGATAGTGCCATCATGTAATGATCAAATTCTGAATGATAAATCATTCAATGGACAAAAATTAATCAGTTTTAAAAATTTTTTTTTGTCACATACGTGCAGTATGAAAAGTTAAATTTATAACAGATGAGAAAAACATGATACTAAAGGTTCAATAAAAATAAATAAATAACATACATGTTATACTTACCTGCTGTCAGGAATGGACTCACCACTGATGGTGCTGTGGCTCACTTGCTCTGTGGGCTGCAGTACCAGCTCCTACCAGAGGGTGCTTTCAACAGCCAGGGTCTCACTCCTGCAATCAAGCCATCACCTGAGGATGATTGCAGTAGGTCTATTTAAGCAGGACCAGGCCTGCAATCAGTGCCATGGTGTTTGTTTTCCCATGAGCCCCTGTACCTGGTATCCTGTGAATCTTCTGTTGCCGACCTCTGCATTGTTCCTGACCCTCCTGACCGTCTCCTGTTAGACCCCTGGCTTGCCTGACCATCCTTCTGCCTGATCCCCTGTACCGAGTTTCCCGTGAGTTACTGAACCCGGCTTGTGACCCTGACCATTCTCTGCCTGCTCCTCCGGTACCTCGCTGCCAGTACGTTGCTGGATGTCAGGAATCAAGGAATGACCAGAAAGGTGTGGACTGACACAGGGAAACACAGGTTTCAGGTATAGTATAATACAGGTTATTATTAGCCACCCAGATATATATAAATATAAACGCACAGTGCGCAAACCAACCTTCCACTAATCTTAGGAGGTGCAGGAACACAGGCGTAGTCAGGGCTGGAGAGGTGGAATGGTCAGGCCGGCCGTAGGGTTCTGTAATGACTGCCTGGTGGTACCTCTAGCGGTCCTCAGGACAGGATTCCCCAGGGCGCGGAGTCTAAGTCCCAGTCTGCTATTCACCAGGGCCCCTGATGGTGGGGATGGACTTGGAGCAGACAGGAACCAGGTCGCGGCCCCTGAGTACACCTGCTAGTGATAGAGGGATCCGCCAGAGGTATGTGCAGGTACAGCTGGATCCGTGCAGGATGGATGGATGGCAGAGTAGTGAGCGTGGTCAGACGGGCCAAGTCAGCAACGTGCGGGCAGCAAGGTATCAAAGGAGCAGGCAGAGAATGGTCAAGGTCACAAGCCGGGTTCAGTAACTCACGGACAGCGCAGTACAGAGGATCAGGCAGAAGGATGGTCAGGGATGAGCCAGTAGTCAGAACAGGAGACGGTCAACAGGAATCAGAATCAGGCAGGGTCGGCAACAAGGTATCTTCTCACAGGAACTAGGAACAGGATACAGGGGCTCATGGGGAGACATACACCAAGGCACAGAGCACAGGCCTGGTCATGCCTTATATACACCTTTCTGTAATCAGCCCCAGGTTTGGCTGATTGTGAGCTTCTGGCTGCTAAGAGCACCCGCTGGTCAGCTCTGGTACTGCAGCCCACACGGCAGGAGAGTCCCACCACCAGTGCTGAGAGCACCCGCTGGTCAGCTCTGGTACTGCAGCCCACACGGCAGGAGAGTCCCACCACCAGTGCTGAGAGCACCCGCTGGTCAGCTCTGGTACTGCAGCCCACACGGCAGGAGAGTCCCACCACCAGTGCTGAATCCATTCCTGACACTGACCTGGCCTGCCTGACTACACCTTATGCTACCCAGACGATCCATCCATCCATCCCGCACGGATCTGTCCCTGTTACCAGGTCTGCCAGCCTCTTCACGTCAGGCTCCTTTCCCTGCACACCTCTGATGACGCTCTCTACCATTATCGGACATACTCAGGGGTCGTGACCTGGTCTCAGTCTGCTTCAAGTCCACCCCCACCATCAGGGGCCCTGGTGAATAAGCAGATTGGGACTTAGACCCCGCGCCCTGAGGAACCCCGTGCTGTTGGCTGCTAGAGACGTCGCCAGGCGGTGCTTAACAGTACCAAACGGCCTGCCTGACCATTCCACCTCTCCAGCCCTGACTACACCTGTGTTCCCACACATTTCTGGTCATACCCAGATCCCTGACACGTGCTCTGTGGAGTGGTTTTGCACGGAGCAGCCTGGATCATCCTCTTCTTGAGTTTCCTGTTAGCGCTCCTGGCTCTTTCCCCTACTGAGTGCCCAAGAACAAACTGTTTGCTCTGAGGGCACTTGTGTGTGCTTGATCCCAAGTCGCCTCCGTGTGTTTATAAGACACACAGACCACAGCTCTACCCGGCCCCCCACTCCCTCCTCATTGGCTCTTGCTGCTGTGTTTCAGCAAATGAGGTGGGAGAGACCTGGGAGAGACACTGCTCTTGTGTGCATTGCCTGATCGAGATAAGGCTTAGGTAAGTATAAGGTGGGGCTGAGGGGGAAACCATACACGGAAGGTTTTTTAACTTCATACACTGAATGCATGTAGGTAAAAAACCTTCAGCCTTTACAACCACTTTAACCTTTCAATGTATTGTTTGTTCAGCTGAAGTTTTCTAACCTGTGCCTTAAATTTTTGGTCTCTGAAAAAAACCAGTTTTCTATTGTGCACATTAACTGGATAAAAAAATGAAAGAACGTTATGAACGACAGATTTCCGAATGCTTTTTTATCTTAGTGTATGGGAACCATTAGAGTATCCAGGCAGACACAAGGTGCCAAAATGAAAGCAGCTGTCTGCCAAAACTAGGGCTGAAAAACATTTGGTTCATGGAAAAGCAAATATGGGGGGGGGTGTTGCAGCATAGTCAACTCATTTGCGACCAAAGGTTGATTGTTAGACCAAATTTATTAGTGTCAACATGCATTAATGATACAATAAAGTTGGCCATCCAAATGTACATGTCTTTTGTTCAGCTTGAGGGCTGCATGAAAGAAATCCAACAGATTCCTCCATCCACCCTAACAGCATGAATGAACAAATCCCCCTTGCTGGGATTTTGTATTCTAAGCAGTGCTTGCATCTGATTGGATGCAGTTGCTGTTCAACCGACAATTTTCTGACAGGCTTCTTTGACAAGAGTCGATTGATCAGTCGACTTTTGACGAACAGCCAATGCCGGGAGGACCACAGAGCTTGAATTTTTTCCAAGACAGGAAAAATTAGCAGACATTCAGAAAGTATATGGCCAGCTTAACTCTATGACTAATTTACATGCCTAAATATGTTTTAGTTGTTCTTTTAAAGTAGATATGAAAGTTTTACTGGAACGCTTTTTAAATAAACTGCCTGCTCATAAATGTTCTTATAAGCTGACTACAGTAATTCTTATTTAACTTTTTAAACTTTTTAAATTAAAGTGATTGTAAACTCTCACCTTGTAAAACAACCCATTCAGTTTACAATAGAAATAAAAAGTAAAACATTTGTGTATAGATATAAACATTATAAATGCCTTTTTCCCCTTTTTTTAATAAGTGATCACATTCCAGCTGTTCTCAGCTGCATAAGAGCTGGGGGGGCTAACAGCAATGCACTCATCTTCCCAGTGAAAAGCTGTGCGGGCGGGGGTGTATGTTAGGACAAGTCATTGATCATTGGACTTCTTCGGTAACAGACCCCACCTTGGACGAAAAGCTTATTGGGGGGCTGATCCTTGGGCATGACGTCATCACGCAGCCATCTTACTACAGAGCTGTATGCCAGCAACTGTATTTGACACATGCATCTCAGCTAGCACTGGTGGCAGTGCTTGATTTGGTAGGTGTAATACAAAATTTTATACAATTAAAATTTTAAATGGAGAGCATTAGATCTTGTTAGCGTTCCTCTCCTTTCCATATATATCTGGTGTTTCTGAGGACCTGTGTATCCCACCTTGAGGAGGAAGGAGTGAGGTTTTGCCAAGCAGCCGTCAGAGCCATTATCCTTGAGGGGAACAAAGCTTGCTTTGACCCTATTGTTATGCAGAGGTCATGGCCTTGAGGCGAGTGGCTCCCTTACTGTATATGGGTGGTGGAGACACAGAGCACACTAATTATTTGGACCACAGTGTCGATCGCATTATTCATTATTTATGGTCTTTACAGTTTTATTTCACATAAATTTTTTATTTCATATACATTTTTTATTAAATATATATATATATATATATATAGTTGTATATTACACTTTTTAATGTATTGGAAAAGCATATTATCAGCATCATTATTATTAGCATTACTATCATTATTCTTTTTAGTTTCTTCAGCACACAGTAGATTTTGTTGTGTTATGCTATCTCTTAGTAATTTAGGTAGATGGTACAGCAGGCACATATAAGGAATATGAAATATTCGATTTACATTT